ATGGTTGAGAGAGTATCTATAAAGGTAATTTAAAAAAAAATAATAAATATGAGAAATAGGTCTTATATTTAAGACTAAAATTAACTCAATATTAAAGACCGAAAGAGTACAACCATACATAATAAATTTAGTAAAGAAAGAAAAGCATACATATAAAATGTTAACATGTACTCTACCATAGTCATTGGCAGTTTGGATCAAGTAGAAGGAGTTTAATACTCCTTTAAATAAGGTTATTTGTTTGAGCACTATGATAAAAAAATTCATAATTAAGAAAAATGAGCTATTTGGACGTAATAATATTTAAATTTGTTAGCATCACAGATAGTTGTGTAAACAAATTATGCTTGAGAGCTTTTGTTGCATTAATAATAGTTAAAGGGAAAAAAAGGTTGAGTCAAATCTCTCGCTGAGTCCCTTTTTTTTTTTTTAAAAAAAAAAAACTAAATATTGTTATGTAGTCCAATGTTTTTTTTTTTTAAATGAAATTTGTGTAACACTTCCGTATGTAATAAATGTTTAATCCTCCAAATATAAGACTTTGGCGTACGGGACACTACAAAAACATCGATATAACCAATTTTTAGGCTTTCCCAGATTAATTACATTTCATGAGATGATTCCAGCAGATTTACTTATGAAATTAAACTGTTAATGGTCACTGCTCATATAGTCTTGAACAAAATGATATCTAATTTCAAACTTCATACATTGCATAATGAATTTAACTTTGTTTTTGTCTATGTTTTATAGCCGGTTCCAAAAACGAATAAAAGAGAAGGGAGGGTTGTATTATGTTCTTGACACAAGAACAAAAAACTCTGTCAAATATCTTATATGAATATGAAATGCACGGGGTTTGAGATCTAGTTGAGGTATATATTTAATAAGAAGTCTTAGAGAATGGAGCAAAAACTAGTAGGGTAAGGATCATGAACTACATGACAAGAGGAGATAGGGTATGGTGGGTAGTGATGAGTAGTGGGACAATAAGGTGGAACCTTATTGTCATAATCCTCTTCCTTGTTATTCTTCTCCTCTTTGCTCTCTTGTTTCAGCTGTTGAACACTCAATATGCTTGCATGGCGGAACTTCTTTCTGAGAAGCCTCGCCAAACAAACCGGGTCGACATCATCTCCGACCACCACCACCTGGTCTCTGTCTCTGCCTTCTATGGACACCGAACTCACGCCTGTATGGTAACAAGTACCAAACATTATTCGCTTTCATTCTCTCACTATTGTAGAAAAATCCTTTACACCGGTTAATACCGATTCTTCAACCCATGATCATCATCGATCCATGACATGCACATTATTATTCAAGTCACGACATTAATTAATTGCCACACAATATATTAGTAATTAAGTTGATGGCATGCATATATATGTACGTACCTTTAGCTGCGGCTGCAATTGTGAGGGCCTTGCTTCTGCATTTGTTACAGTCTAATGTCGCTTTGATCACTATTTTTTGCTGCATCATCAGTACCAAGCATAGATAGTGCATTTCATTTTAACATATATGTGTATATATATATAGAGAGAGAGAGGGGTAGGGGGAGGGAGGGAGGAGCGAATTTCAAAGCATGCATTATCAGAATAATAGTTGGTATAATTAACTATTCTATCTGCATTAGAACAAGACTCATCTTACCTTCATGCTTGATTTTTCATATGCTTCTGTGTGCTTTCAGGCTCTGCAAGTATGATCGAATGTGATGAGGCGATAATGATGCTGAATTCATTTCGTCTCTCTCTCTCTCTCTCTCTAGTTATATATATATATATATATATATATAGAGTGTGTCCGTGAAGGAAGTGGGATTTGTTTTATATTACCTCCGGTCCTAATTATAAGACCCAGTTAATTAATTTGGAGAGATTAAGAAACTTAGTTAAATTAGTTATTTCTAATGAATATGTGTTGTTTTTCCTGAAATATCCTTATTAACTAAGTTTGTTATCTAGAACTACTATTATTAAAGGATTATCTTGGAAAAAAATAGATAAATATGAGAGATAAAGTAGATTGAGATCTTACATTTAGAACTAAAATAAAAGGCAAACAAGGTTTTATATTAAAGATCAGAGACAATATATTATATCAAAAAGATTAAAAGTCTTTATGATACTTTAAGTTAATATATATATCCTATTTTCTAAGGCTACAACTTAATACACACACACGTTTATTTTTATTTTTTAATACAATGACTATGGCAAACCCATAAAAGGAAAAAATATTGGGCATATTATATTAGCCAACAACAAATTAATGCAACAAGGAGTCTGCTCGGTGTTCACAGTGTCACAACAATGCAATAGCTGTATATATGGACAATTAAGAAAAAATATGATTACCACAAGTTACATTAAAATCAGTTTCTGGTCAATTCCTACTATTTCTTTCATATTTTTGGTGGGGTCCAGGATTCGCACTTCAACTGTAAGGGCATATGAATCATTAATTATTGGCGACTAACATTCTTAATTACAGCTAATCATTGATTAATAATTTTGCTTTTAAAGTCGCTCATTACTATAAGTAATTTTTCTATTATTAGATTACACTAATTACATGAGGAGCAAGTTGCGCCTGGTTGCTTTGCTGGATTTGATTAATTTACAAATGTGGATCATTAGTCAGACTGCTTCATAAATTAAAAGTTTTGGTAATCTCCATGTCAAATTATTTGGTTAGTGAAAATAGAAATGAAATGAAAAATGCAATAATTATATAAATGAGAGATATCTGCGAATGTCTAGCTGAGAAATAGTTTATCTAGAAACTTTAATTTTTATCTTGATGAATAATTATTAATACTGTAAAAAAACCAACATATATCAAGCAATTTTAAGTACATTCAGATTCCACAACAGAATGATGTTATTTTCTATTTCATGTTATTGAATTGACTTAATTAATTCAACTTCTTATGACGAATGCATTGAATTTAAATTGGAATTTAAGCTAAGTTCATAAATCTAAAAAGTTAATGAATAACTTGGAATTTACGATCATTAAATTCAATGGATCATTCAGCATATCAGCTCACAAGTAAAAGTTTTTTTTTTGGTCACTAATATTGCTAACATTTAAGTTGTAATTATAAATCTATTATTCAAATGTTGATCAGAAAGATCAATAGTTCATTGCCTGATCCCATCAGTCCCAGTAAAGAGGATAGTTTGGCTAAGTTACTAAACTAGCGAAAGAGGAAACTAAGAATAAGGTTGAGTTCAGCATGAATTTATTCATAATAACTAATTTATATTACCAAAAAAAACTAATTTATAAATATTAAAAAATTAATTAAATTAGTTATTTATAATTAATGTGTATCTATTTTTATAAACTACTCTATTTAATTATTTGTATTGAAAAGTGGAACCTATTCTCATTGGTGAAAACTTTCAATTGTTATATGTAATTAACAGAGGTAGTTTGAGATTAGAAGGCAAAATGATTGAGGCATTGTTTCGGACTAAAACAGACTCCTCAACTATTTTTCTTTAAAAGTAAACATTTTGACATATGGAATCACATTTTTCCTCGTTCATATGGGTCCACCCAAAAATAAGACCCACATCGCCCTTTGATTTCTTTCTTTTCATTCAACACCAAGTACTTTAGAGTTTAGAAATCCAAGTTAACATCAAATTGCACAGCTTCACAGTGCAGCTAGTAGCTGCAGGCCAACAAAAGAACCTAAGGTTACGTTTGGTAGAAAGCATTGAAAATGAAGGATTGGGATTGGGATTACAATTGAAAAAATCTATTAAGAGAGTGTTTAGTATAAGAGATTGTTTGATATATGGGATTAGTCAAAGCCATGTATGTGGGATTAGAGAATACCATGGGAGGAAGTGGTATTCCCCAATCCCACCTTTATGGGCATACCTAATCCCATATAACAAACAATTATTCATACTAAGTACTATTTTAATGATTTTTTCAATTGCAATCCCAATCCCAATCCTTCATTTTCAATGCTTCGTACAAACGGGACCTAAAAGATAACCAACAAAGCCACAAAACAAAGGTTTAGCAACCAGAACCACAAATTGAGAGGCTTCATTTCCAACTCTAGGACCAACCGGCATAGTAGGGCCTAAGGGTATCAGTTCCAAGATGCACAACATTACTGGATTCAGGCCATGAGCGTCTCTGCAAGTCAGAACTAATTCCATGAACATATTCAGAAAAAAATCTCCCCCCCAATCATATCCATATTTCTAACATGTCCTGTTGGTGGATAACTAAACTCAGTTGATTTAGGTCGTGATGATCTGTGTAAGTCAGAGCTGATTCCATGAACATAACCAGAAACTTGTTTCCCCAGAATCATATCCATATTCATAACATAATCTGTTTGTGGATGCCCAAACACAGTTGATTCAGACCGCAATGATCTCTGCAAATCACAACTGTTCCACCAACACCACCAGCTCTTCCCAGAAAATCTATTCCACCGTTTAAGTAGCCTCCTCTTCCTTCTAACATTGGAAGGTGTCTTCCCCCTATCGTATCCATATTTCTAACATGTCCTGTTGGTGGATAACTAAACTCAGTTGATTTAGGTCGTGATGATCTGTGTAAGTCAGAACTGATTCCATGAACATAACCAGAAACTTGTTTCCCCAGAATCATATCCATATTCATAACATAATCTGTTTGTGGATGCCCAAACACAGTTGATTCAGACCGCAATGATCTCTGCAAATCACAACTGGTTCCACCAACATCACCAGCTCTTCCCAGAAAATCTATTCCACCGTTTAAGTAGCCTCCTCCTCCTTCTAACATTGGAAGGTGTCCATTTCTGCAACTAATTGCTGACGGTGGTGAGTGAGGATTGAGGCTTATCAGAGGGTAGTGATGATTACTCAGAATTGTTTGGCTTGTGGGGTAGAAGTCATTCTTTGTTAACAAGGCAAACTTGAACGTGCTGCACTTACCGAGGGGGAAAGGCTCATCACACCTGGTCCCGTCACCTCGCTTGTTATTATAACCCGGGTAATCTTCTTTCCTGAATTCCATACACCCAATTGGCCATAGAAAGCTTCGAATCCCAAGTTCCGGTATGCACCAGGCATCAAATGGCGGGTTGGTCTTGTGATTAACATGAATTTCACCATTGGACCTCAGCATGCTACTTGCATTCATAAAGAACCCACGTACAAGGTCCTTGTGTTTCCTGTAAATCCAAAAAATGAAAAAAAGAAGGATGCTAAAGCCTTCACATACACAAATTAACTGGAGGAGAATTTGCAATAATTCGCTTAGAATGCCGTTACATATTATACAATCATCAATATAAGAATATATCAATCAATATTCACAAGTTATAAATAGTGCAACTTATTCTTTAAACTCGGTGCAATATATAGAAAGATGTGTCAAATTGCATCAATAACAAAACAACTGAAACCAGACAAAAGAGGTTGTGTGCGTATTGAGGGGTGGAGAGATGCATAATTACAAAAATCTGTGGATATAAGGAATATCAAGTTCTATACTAGTAGGGTCAATAATCTTCATAAGCTGTATTGACCAAAACGCCCTTACTTCTTGCTTGATAGACAGATAGAGGTACTTGGAGTTTTTTCCTTCTGAAAAATTATCACATGCATGAGCATTCAAATAATTTCCCACAGCATAACAACTGCAAGTGTCCAATGAAATGACTGAATCAACCTTGCCCATGCATTGTCTTTTAGTGAAAGCACCAGAGCTTTTTAGCCAGAATAATCAATGTTTGGACGTACAAATAATACAATACATGCAAGTTTCGATGTATATCTGTTTACAGACACACTGTCTTTGCATATTTTCTATAGCCAACCATCTTATACATAAGCAGCCAAATGCTAGGAAAACTAAATGGTTCATGTACCAAACCGAATCGGCTTAAACTAAAACGCACAAATGTACAGCAGAATCATTAGATTAATGTATGAGGACCAGATATCAAGATTGCCGCTTATTTTTCTCTGTTGGAAATCAGACTTTGAGCAAGAGAAATTGGCATGTCTGTACAGTCCCTTAGAAAAGCTTAAACACAATACTTATGGAAAGATCCGAGATGATTTTACATTATGCATCTAACACAGTCTTTATATTGTATTACAGACACACAGAGATGTTAGACAATAGTAATATGAATTCTAACAGGGAACTCACTGAATCATGGAGAAGTTGTCTTCTTTGCCATGAAAGCCTGCATGAGGGAAGTTGAATATAATTCTATCAAATCTCCTCATTTCCAAGTATGGATGAAATTTCATTTGGGTTGCATCAACTCCATGCAACACACATGCTCCCATTTTTGTTAAGGCAATCAAATTTGACATCGCCTTCTTGTACTTCCTCACAACTTGATCTTAATGAACAGAAAAAGTAATCAATGACATGACAAACATTCAACACTGTAGTAACAACAATTACGAAAAGCAGAAGAGTAAACCAGATCGATGGAATCCACAGTCCACAAATTAGATAACATGCGCAGAAATAGAAACAATTGATTCAGACAACAAAATCTATGGGATGCTCATAGAAAAATGGAAGAATAGTATATAAACACAAGCACTTCCACAAATCATGAAGAATCAGAAAACCATCTAAGCAAGCAACGATTAAGGCGAGATTTATGTCTGAACTAAGCTTCATTAGAATAACTAAAGAAAGTCAAATATTTAGCTCCTTGACTCCTCCTAGAAACTTTTCGTAGGGTACGCAAAATACAAATGACAATAAAAAAATAAATATATAAAAGGTCAAATGTTAAGATTCCTTATGTACATGGAGTTAAAATCACAAACGAGAAACCTTCCGATTATCAATGATCCCTTCAGCGAAATTGCAGGGCATAGCTTGACTTCTTTTGGGTGCTTAGAAAGCAACAAGCGAACAGAAATCAAACTCACTTGATGAACAAATCCATCGTTTTGCAAACTACTAAGGGAAAATAATAGTTATTTCAAGAGGGAAGAGGGTGAAAAATAAACACTTAACGTAGTATTTGTAAGAAGCGTCATCATCAAGCAATCAGAAAAACCCTATGCAGTTTTAGATAACTCCATTATTCAAAATAACAGCTGTCACAAGAAAGGGGAAAATTTTGAAGAAGAAACATTGCACACACAAATGCAAGAGCAGAGTGTGTGTGTGTGTGTGAGAGAGAGAGAGAGAGAGAGAGAGAGAGAGACCATAGGTGTCAAGGGAAGAAGCAACGATGTTGAAAGCTGAACCAAAGGATTGAGCCAAGCAAAGGGAGAAGGAGAAATCACCCTCACCCACCAACAGTATTTGATGATGTGAAGAATAATATTTGACCCATTTTTCTCCTCCACCATCACTCAAATCGACATGCTTCTGCCTGTTGTTCTGACAGCTCATTTGTAAAGCCATTGCTTCCCCTGCCCCTGTGCCTACAAACTACGAGGTTTCAAGCTTCCTATATGGAAAACGTAACCTTCCAACGTTTAAAAAGGCGGAACAATGCTCTTTTTGAGAGCTATGATGCGAAAATCAGAAGGTAAAATGGGTGGAAACTTCATGATCCATGTCTTCAAGCTTATAGACCCCATGAACTGTTTCAAAATCAAATCATCGACGCATCACATTTTGCTGAAGTGGGGGAGGAATTGAGGAGGAGGGTGCTGAATTTCAGTGTGAAAATGGATGGAAGTGGGTTTAGATTTGAAGCTGGAAATTAATTGGCCGCCAACATTGAAGCTCTTGAATCTCAACGCCAGAGACGCTAGCAAGCTTGGGTGCTCTGCAACTTTCCTTTCCCCATTCTCCGTCGTCCAGCCCTTATGCTTTGATTTTATTTAACGTCATAAAACAGTTCCGGATGCAGCTTAGGTTGGAAGCAATCTTAACTCTTAAGGATGGTTTACACATAAGACTGAAGGGTGCTTGGAAGAACGTAAAATCACTTTCAAAAATACTTCTTCGTACTTATTCTTCCTCGTACTTATTTTGACTATTATAAAATTATTCTTAAAGTTATAATTTAGTTTTTATTGATACAAAAATAGATATTAGCGTTTCAAACGGGACATAAATACCATCTCCGTTAATCTCCTAAACGTGGTTACTTTTTTATTCGGTGGACCCACTTTGTCAGCTCAATACTCCCTATTGCCTTTGTCAATCTCTCTTCTTCTCATCCGCCCCCCTCTCTCTTCTTCTTTCTTTCCCCACACCAAGCGCCATGTCCAACCCCTCTCGGCTTTGTGGGTCTCGCTCTCATCCTCCTCTCTATCCCCACACTAAGCATATCAAGCACGCCTACGACAACTCCGCTTCACTGTTATTGACTTTTTGGTAGCGAAATGATGACAGTAGAGAATGGCGTCCTTCTGAGAGACCTGATTAATGAGGCGGCAAGCAATGGGTTGAAATTACCGTATATACTAGATTCTAATTATAAGACCCAATTGATTAATTTGAGGAGATTAAGAAAAAAAGTTAAGTTAGTTATTTGTAATAAATAGGTGTTGTTCTTCCTAAAATATCCTTACAATCAAATATATTGGCTAGGACTATAATTATTAGAAGGACTGTTTTGAATAAAAATATATAAATATGAGAGACAAAGTGGATTGAGATTTTATATTTAAAACTAAAATAAAAGTCAAACAAGATTTTGTATTAAGGATCGGACGTAGTATTGTACTGGTGGTGGTGGGAATCGATAATGAGGGATTAGAAATGAGGACTGATGATGCTTTTGTCATTAAAGCACTCAATTAAACTAGGTCTCAATTAATTTGTAGTTCAGGATCGACCTAGGTCATTACTTTCAAGGAGCAATTTATGGGTTTCTTTAGGTAAAAATTTAGGTGATAAAAAAATACAATAAATTGGACCTAAACTAAAATGCAAAATTCTAATTCTAAATGGAAAATGCAAATGTCCTAAAATCTATATGAAAATTAAATTAAACTAAATAAATGTAATACAATTTTTGGGGGGATTTTTTTTAAGAAAACAAATTAAAATGATAAATGAAGAAAATTAATCAGGAAGCAAAGAAAATTAACAAGTAAAAATGGAGAAGTTCTCTTCAGGTAAGGTGAAACAACCTTCCTAAATAAACAGATAAACCTATTTTTTTTTTATAGTAACTTGAAGAAATAACTTTTTATAACCAAACCATGCTAAATACAAACTCAAATTATATCACAATCATTTACACTAACTAATTATATAATATTGTTATCCGTGATAGAAAAGAGCAGCACCCAATCATACATACTATCACGGATAAAAGAACTTTTCTTAACTCATTTAAATACAAACTATATAAGAAATGATCAATCTTATCTAATATGGTTATAAAACAACATATAATATAGCTCATAAATCAAAATATTAAAAATTAAATCTTAATTCATACTTTATAATAAATTCATAAATAAAGCACATGCGAATATGCGATCCTAGGCCTCTGGCCACCTATCAGCACACATACCACAATAGTACACTCAAAGGACATAAGAAATAATAGTGCATGAATAAATTAAAACCAATTTATCCTAAGATGGCAATATACAGGATACAACATAGCTCATAAATCGAGGAGACGCTACAAGTTACTAATGTAGCTTTACTCCTCCTGAGCCTTCCCTAACGTCCCTCTTTTAAAGCTTTCACCTAAAAAATGTTAAATAATAGGAATGAGACAACGTCTCAGTAACTAAATCCCTACCTATTACACACCCTAGCATGGCTAGCGAGATGTCAGGTGGGATACACAGGATTAATAATAATTGATAAACATTTATTTAACATTTAAACTCACAATAATCATATAAGTAAATATTTCCACCACTCTCATACAATTGATACATTCCAAAAGAAATAACATACTTATCATTTATTTAACAGATATAAATATCAATGAATATCCCATGTCATATGCAATTCCTGAACCCAAATCCATCCTTATATCCTCCTTATTTCCGCCGACTGGACCCATGGGCTAAGTTCTTTCCATTTGACTGGCTACTCTGACAAGCTCACCACTCAAGTGATATGGACCGGCCAAAGACCACAGAGCACTCGGTGGACCATGGGTCCCCCCTCGAAGAACTAGTGGGGTGTCGCAGTCCCTCGAAGAACTAGTGGGACAATAATAGTGGCCAACCATAGAGCTCCGTATGGAGGCCGATACCACGTGGTAAGTATATAAATCTCAATAACTCCAATCATCTCCTTCCCCACCCAAAATAGATGTACAGGGTTCAAAATCACAGATTTATATGCATAATCAACAGAATTTCATAATAGCACATCATAATCATGATCACCAATTTCTTGCAATACAAATTATGTCAATCCTTTTTAAAATAGCATCCCACAAGACAGTTCATACAAAACGTAATATACTTTTATAGAATTAGTTATAAAGCCGCTCACCAACTTCATACTAGAGCACGTAACAGATAGAAATTTAGTTACCTGGTCTCCTAGCTAACAGTCAACTATAACCAGAGTCCAACCTCGAAAATGCCACAATAGAGTTTATATCTACAAACAAAATTAAAATATTATCTCTATAGTATTAGAGTAGGCTACTCACAAAATTCTAGCCTCTAACTCCTCCTCTAAAAGCTTTAATTTTACTCAGAACTCTAGCCTAAAAGACATTTCTCTAAGGTTTGGAATGAGAACACACACACACACATATGATTTAGACTCGATTCCTGAATTTTCCCTTACTTAAATATCCTTTAATTATTAGATTATATTATTAGAATCATCAAATTCATAATGCAAATAGACAAATTATAAATTGATAACTTATATTCCATCTTCAAAGGACTTAGACAAATAGACTTAGTACGAACCAGGTTATTCTCACTACAGAAGTTAAACCCTTAATCTAACCGTTGAATTTAATTTCCTATATATCATGATACTATCCTCCAAATTGTAGCTCAATCTAACGGTGAATGAACTTTAAAATGCTAATTTACTATTCAGGACTCTATCTGCTAAATCCAAAAGATATAAGTTAAAAACGTACCTAATAACTTGTAACTCAGAGATCAAAATGATAATCCAACCGTTGAAATTAACGATTTGGATGTCCCAAATGGGCTGACCAAATTTCAGTCCGATCCAACGGTTAATAAACTCAAAACTAGTACTTTTCTGAGACTACCTCAGATATGTGTGAAAATTATTTACTCACTTCAAGCTCCACTCACTATCTCCTATATATAGGCTCCTCAAACTCCTTCACTCTAAAAATTAGTCGATGTGGGACTTCTATACCATGGTATAATTTTGTAGAATACCATCCACACACACACAATCACACACAAAAACATTATTAAAATAATAATAATAATAATTTGCTTATATCTAACCTTTCTTTTTATTAACTTGATATTAAAATATATTTATTTATAAATTTAATTAAATACTAAGTAAAAATAAGGATGTTACATAAGGTAGAGGGGACAAATTAGGATTTGCATGGATTTAACCTTCATAACCTTAATTAGTTAATTAGACCAAAGGGAAGTGATAAGAGAGTGGAGTTAATAAATTTAATTACCTACTTGAAACAAAGGGAACCCTCAATTTCAAAAACTATTAAACTATTAGAGAACTCATAACAGTATAAGGTTGGTTAATTAAGTTTATTAAAACCAATGAAAAATAACTCAATTAATTTTGAAAATTATGTTTCAAATTATCCAATTAAACAATTAGAAAATTAACCAACTTAATTAAACAATTAAGTGGTAAAAGAACCCAAATTTTGCAATTCAAACCACATTGATAATTAAACTCATAATGAAAACTCAATTATAAATTCAATTAACAATGCAAAGGTTCTAAACATAAATTCCAACAAGTGTCTCAACACACATAAAATCCAAATATAAATCCAATCTAAACATAAAGATGACAATCTAGAACTAAATTGTCTCACAAAATTACAACTTAAAATTATTTAAAACTAAATAATCTCAAGTCCTTGAATTAAAAAGATAAATGGAACATCACTCCCTTGTGGTCTTCAAGTGCTAGCCCAAGGCTCGAGTCTCTTCCATGCTCCTCTCAAGTTGCCTCCCTAACAAGCTTAAGCCTCCGTCAAAATGCCTCTTCCTCCAAAGTTGTTAGATGCCACGGCCATGAATGATGAGGTGTAGATGAGAAGCTGTGCGTGTAGTGAGAAAGGAGAGGAATTGATTGAAATTGGTGGGTGAATATAGAATGGAATCAATGGATATATGCGAGAGGGCGTGCGGCTTTTTTTTATACGTGGAGTGATGATGGTGACTAGATGGTATATGGTGAATGTGGGATATTGTTGAAAGGAGAGGATTCACGTTTTTATGGTCCGTGCGTGCTATGGAGATGGAAAAAGAAAAGAGTGATCTTAGGCGTGCTAGAGGGATTATTTTAGGAGAGAAAAGGAAATTTTCTTAGATCCA